AGGGGAACCCTCCTACACTGTTGGTGGGAATGCAAGCTGGTGCAACCACTCTGGAAAACAGTATGGAGGTTCCTCAAACAGTTGAAATTAGAGCTACCGTTCGATCCAGCAATTGCACTACTGGGTATTTACCACAAAGATACAAATGTAGGGACCCGAAGGGGTACATGTACCCCAATGTTTATAGCAGCAATGTCCACAATAGCCAAACTGTGGAAAGAGCCAAGATGCCCATCGACAGATGAATGGATAAAGAAGAGGTGGTATATATACACAATGGAATATTATGCAGCCATCAAAAGGAATGAGATCTTGCCATTTGCAACGACGTGGATGGAACTGGAGGGTGTTATGCTGAGTGAAATAAGTCAATCAGAGAAAGACATGTATCACATGACCTCACTGATATGAGGAATTCTTAATCTCAGGAAACAAACTGAGTGTTACTGGAGTGGTTGGGGGTGGGAGGGATGGGGTGGCTGGGTGATAGACATTGGGGAGGGTATGTGCTACGGTGAGCGCTGTGAATTGTGCAAGACTGTTGAATCACAGATCTGTACTTCTGAAACAAATAACGCAACATATTTTAAGAAAAAAGAAAAAGAAGAAGATAACAGGAGAGGAAGAAAAGGGGAGTATGTCAGAGGGGGAGACGAACCATGAGAGATGATGGACTCTGAAAAACAAACTGAGGGTTCTAGAGGGGAGGGGGGGAGGGGGATGGGTTATCCTGGTGATGGGTATTGAGGAGGGCACGTTCTGCATGGAGCACTGGGTGTTATGAACAAACAATGAATCATGGAACACTGCACCAAAAACTAATGATGTAATATATGGTGATTAACATAACAATAAAAAAATAAAACAAAAAAGAAATAGTGGTATATATATATACACACTTAGAATACTATTCAGCCATGAAAAAGAAAGAAATCCTGCCATTTGCAACAACATGGATGGATCTTGAGGGCATTATGTTAAGTGAAATAAAGTGAAATAAAGTAAAGTCAGAGGAAAAAAAATATATATCGTCTCCTTAGATGTAGAATCTAAATAAACAAACAAAAACAAACCAAGCTCATAGACACAGAGAACAGATTGGTGGTTGCTAGAGCTGGGAGACAGGTGGAGTAGGGGGAGATGAGTGAAGGGGGCCAAAAGGTAAAAAGAAGAGGGGGGAAAGTTCCTTATGCAGAGAATGGGTTCTCACATATTCACAGAGAAGTAGGACTTTGTCCTTGGCCATTTGTGTGGAAGGCATGGATGTGTTTCCTTCCCCACTGAGCTAATAACCTGAGACTCAGACTGCAGCCGAGGAACTCCTTGTTTCAGTCATTCCTTGTCCTGCCAATTAGCTACTCTATGCACATCTGCTAGCCCTAGACCCCAAGTGTCTGTGGGAGGACTCACCAGAGCCTTCAGGAAGACATGGGAATGGCATTCAAAACCCACACAACAATCTAGCTGGAGCTTAGAAGGAAGGAGCCAGGCAAGGGGTCTGCTAAGATGCACCAGTCTACTTACCTGACAGAGGAGTTCATTCAGGATATAAAGACTGGGGCTCAGAGAGCTGCCAGAGAACTCTTTGGGTTAGAAACATTCACTTCTGAATCTTAACTCTTTTTACCACACTTTGACTTTCCTGGTTAATGCCTGCACCCACTAAGTGTTAAGTAATTAGGAAATAGTAGCCATGAATGGCAACTTTAAGGGGACATGGAGGACGTGGTTATTAATTCCTTTTTAGTCCAGTGTGTTCAATGAAGAAGCAATTTATTATTTCCCTTGCCTGTGGTGGCACCTAGAATTCAGTGAGCAAATCCCAAGGGAAGAATAAAGCTCAAGTGAGAAATTCTGGCTACATGTGTGGCTGTTCCTGCCCACCCAGGGCCTTGTCTTCACGACTCATCTCTTTATATATGGAGAAAATGGCTTCTTTCTAATACAAGTAATCAGTCTTGCACCAGAGTGAGGAAGCCAACTGTAAAAATAGGACTTCTTTTATAAGCCACATAAAGTTGGACTAACTGACAAGGCCAATTGTAAAATTACACATACTATGTACATGACTATCCCTGCAACTACCTTTCCCTGTGTAAGAAAATGACCATGACATCCAGAGTAGACTGAGACTCAGGATAGACTGTCTTGAGAGAGCTCTGAAAAGCCAGCATGGCAGAGTGGAGAACCAAACTCAGCAGAACTTGCTAAATATTAGATGGCTCAGTGATTGAGTATGAATTAATGAATAAATGAATGGAAAACACATAAACAAATACATGAAAAATTCATTTGCACATGTTCTTAGATGTGCTTTGAGGTACTCTTTCATCATATATGTATGTTTTTTCTGCTTTTTAGAATGACAACTTCCAAGAGACCAAAATCACATTTGTCAGGTAGGCTGGGGGCTTCTAATGGTAGGAACTAAGCTGTTCTTCCCTTTTTCCTTCTGTAGATAAGATTACTTAGCAAGGGTCTCCCAGACTCTTGTCAAATAGCCCCTGGGCTTTCTCTCCCTCTCCTTTAAGTAAAATGTGTCAGGATCTGACCTACTCTGTCATCAATTACCAGAGCCATGAGGACGTACTCCCCGCACATGTGTGTTTGCACACTCACTCCCCCAAAATGTCCCCTCTGAATCAATGAATGTGTCATAGACTGGGGTAGGACACAATTACATGAAGCACAGATTTATTAGGGGAGGCAAAAGGAGAGAACCGCAGTGAGGGGGAGCTGGAGGAAGCAATAAGACAGAAGCTGTGCCTCAGCCTCTGGAGTCCCCACTAGTCAGAGTGGAACTTCAGAAGAAGCCCAGATGCATCCCTTGCTTTGGGGGCATGGATGGGGCCCCATTTGTGGCCAAACTGAAAGCTGGAAAGGATGAGGCCTCCTCATATCTACCTCAGAGAGCATCAGGGTGGGATGAAGACTTGAACAAGGCTAAATGGGAAGAAATCCTGACAATGCTTCACTGGACCCTGGGCAGGAGGGGGTGGGAGAGGAAGGCAGCTCCTGGGGCTGGAGGGAAGAGGCACAGGAGAAATAGAAGGCTCCATCTGGTAGCCTGGATGTCGGGCAGGCAGTACCCCAGTTCGCCCTTACTTCTGTTTATTCTTGGGGGCTTGCTGGGCCATGGGACACTTGTGCTGGGTGGGGATCACTGTGCCCTTGGGTGGGCATTGTTTCTTGGGCTGTGGAGCACATGGATTGTTGGTTTGTGGTGCACATGTTTCTTGACATCTGACAGGGGGTGGCTGACAGGCTGCTTCACCTGCTGCTGCTGGGCCTTCTGGGGCAGGCCCGGCCTCCACTGCTGCTGCTAAGACATTGCTGCAGGAACAGGGGAGCCTGAAAGAAACCGAGGCAATGGACACTTCGAGAAGGGCTCTGTCTGCCACCCCTCCCTTCTGACTCCTAGAGCAATGTTTCCTTACAACGGCCAAGGACATGATAAGTGATTAATAGCCTCAAATTGGTCAATGGATTGACTCACATGCACCCATTGTGATCCTCTCCCCTTCATCCTTCTGCTACGCTATCCTGATGTCCAGTATGACTTCTCTGGACCTCCATGCTCTTATTTGGAAGATGCTGATCTGGAAAGGTCTCTGAGGACTTCCCAGCTCCAGCGTGTGTCTCCGGTTTTGTTTGTTAGCAGCCTTCCTCTCTTCTAAATTCGTGATTATAAAGGGAAACATAGGTTCCGGGTCGTAATCATGATAGTGAGGCATGGGAGCTGCACAGTGTAAAATGCACTACGTAATATACCTGTTTCTGTAAACCTAAAAGCAACATATGAAAAAGCTTGCTCTTAGGGCCAAAAAGACAGCTTTTTAAGGATGAGAATATTTGGAGGAAGCTCAGAATTGCTACAAAACGCTTCAGTTCTATATCTCCCCTCAATGAGGAAAAATCACCTTGCCTGGGAGTGAGACCCAGAATCAGGTAATTAGTCATACTCAGCAATGGTGAGGGATGGAGACTGAGTTTCCTAAGTAACAAATAGCATGACATTTCTTTAATTGTCACGAGGCTTAAGTCATTTCTCTGATTACCCATGAATAGGTCAGGAGCTTGCCTAGCAGCTGGAGACAGTTCAAGAAGGAGGAAGTGCCCAGCAGGTCCCAGCAGGAGGAATCCATTCCCACTCACCAGAAGCTCAAGCAGGACCCCAGGAGAGGAGGCTGAACACAGGTAGGAGGCCATCCTCTCCTGGAAATTTTATAAGGCTCCCTGCCTGCCTCAGGCTCCTGGCATGGCCCTGATTATCTCCTTCCAGGGAATTCCTCACCCACTTCTCCCACCTGCACTTCCTCCAGGGACTTGCTTTACTGGCCTGTTTTGATGGGAAACACCCCCAGATATTACAGCCTTCCGGGTTCCCATCTAGCTAAGCAGACTTCACCTACCTAAGGTGTTTGCTCAAACTCAAGGAACCAAAATCTTTAAAAAAAAGAACAAATCTGAGGTGCTGTTTGCTGATTGAGGAAAGAGGAGGAGGAGAGGAAATATGGGTTTGGGTCACTTCTGGCAAAAATTTGAGCATCACCTTTGCTGCTATTACTGCCATTTGTTGAGCACTAAGATCTAGCACTGCCATGAGCACCGCCTACTGCTGAGATCACTCTTTACACTGTTTCTTCTTTTTCTTTTTTTTTTAAGATTTTTTAAAATTTTTATTTATTTGACAGAGCACAAGTAGGCAGAGCAGCAGGTAGAGGGTGAGGGACAAGCAGGCTCTCACTGAGCAGGGAGCCCAATGCGGGGCTCGATCCCAGGATGCTGGGACCATGACCTGAGCCGAAGGCAGCCCCTTAACCGACTGAGCCACCCAGGCGCCCCTTTACGCTGTTTCATTGTAAATTTATAGCCCCCATAAGGCAAATGTCATTGTTATCATTTTGTAGATGAGAAAAGTGAGGCTGGGAAAGATTATGTGGCTAATAGACAGCAGAAATGGGACAGGGACTCAGGTCTGGATGATTCAGAGAACTCAAACATCAGAAGAAGTCAAAAGTCTCCTCCCAGAGGTCCCCCACCCTTGCCCCACTACACGGTGCCTTTGATTTTCCCAACCCAGCAGGGACTGTTTGCAATGTGTTCTAGGAAGCTTCTCCTTGAGCACAAGGACAAGAATGTGAATGGGCCCCCCCAAGCTTAATCAACATGGTGTTGCTATCCCTCACCTGCCCACCAGGAATCAGCTGCTGATGGGTATTAGTGGTGGGCAGAGGGTGGGGTAGAATTTAGCCTCTGGGGTAGAGTTGCCAGGTAAAATACAGGACACCCAGTTCAATTTGAATTTTAGGTAAACAGAATTTTTTAAAAATTTTATTTAAAATCAATTAACATGTAGTGTATTAGTAGTTTCAGAGGTAGAGTTTAGTGATACATCAGTTGCATATAACACCCAGAGTTCATTATATCAAGTGTGCTCCTTAATCAGAATTTTTTTAGTAAAAGTATATTTCAAATATTGCATAAGACATACTTATAATACAAAATTACTTGTTAATCTGAAATTTGAATTAAACTTGGCAGGCTGTATTTTTATTTGCTAAATCTGGCAATTTACTCAAGGACCTATTTAGATGACAGGAAGGAGCCCTGGTCCCCCACTTGGCCTCAAAGGCCCTGTGGTGGAGAAGGCAGGACTGTTCTGGGAAGCTGGTCTACCTTTGTACTTAAAGCCTCAAACCTCAGGATCTAGCCTGACAAGAGGCATTGATGTGCTCATTTTTGTCATTATCAGAGCAGAAGTGTAAGGCAGCCTGAGAAATGGTAGACATACCTAGAAGTATTTTCCAAAGCATTTTCAAACCCTTGCACTATTTAATTATCATGGCAGTCCTGTCAGGTAGTGTAAATCTGATTTTACAGTTTGAAAAAGTAGATCCAAAGGAGTTAACTGACTTGCTCAACAACATGGAGCAAGCAGGGGTGGAGCTGGGCAGGGGCCCTGGCCGAGCGCTCATCTCCTCTACATCACGGTGGCCGGCTTCTCTGTGGCAGACAAGTGACTGTTGCTAGGTGGGGCCATGACTCAGGATCTTTCCTGAGCTTTCTACCATATGTGGCTCAGTTTTCAGGATCAGCCTCACTTAAAGTTTAGCCCTTCCCTTAATTTCTTAACCTGGCCAGGCCTTAGCCCCCTTCCCCACAAGCCTATCAACTTTTTTTTTTAATAATTTTTTATTGTTATGTTAATCACCATACATTACATCATTAGTTTTTGATGCAGTGTTCCATGATTCACTGTTTGTGCATAACACCCATTGCTCCATGCAGAATGTGCCCTCTTTAATACCCATCACCAGGCTAACCCATCCCCCTACCCTCCTCCCCTCTAGAACCCTCAGTTTGTTTTTCAGAGTCCATCGTCTCTCATGGTTCGTCTCCCCCTCTGACTTACTCCCCTTCATTCTTCCCCTCCTGCTATCTTCTTCTTTTTCTTTTTTCTTAACATATGTTTCATTATTTGTTTCAGAAGTACAGATCTGTGATTCAACAGTCTTGCACAATTCACAGCGCTCACCATAGCACATACCCTATCCAATGTCTATCACCCAGCCACCCCCT